AGCGAAATTTCTTTTTTTTCGTCTACTCATCCTCTATATCTTTCCTCTTCAAGTGTTAAAACATGAAAAACATTAATTATTTTTTTTAGATGCTGAGCGGCAAGTGGCTCAACCCGTAAAAATAAATTTTGCAGTCAATTTTCACTGTTTTGTAAAGTATTTATTTTATCAACTAGTTTAAGGACATCGTGTAAGTTGTTTACGTCTAAGTTGGTGCCGTGGTCAAGGCAATATTCAACTCAAGGATTATCTTCGTTTAATCTGCCTTTTACAGTTCCGTAGTAAAATTTTAAGTCCAAATTTTCGCTGTAATTATCAGTTTGTAAAGTATAACCGCCTCTCCTATCAGTTCGTAGACCTTGTTGATACATTCATTCGCGATAATTATTAATTTGTCCTCTTATTAATTCTTTCTCTGCTTCATTGAGTTCAAAAATATGGTCGTCATGAGCATTAATTTTATCCTTTAAATGATTAGCAATAGCCCAAGTATAAACTCCACAATCAATTCCATTTCCTTGGTAAGGAGCCGGACGGCGTTCACTTGTTACTGGTCCTAATCTTTGGTCTGCTGCTATTCTATTAATTAAATTTTGGCTGCTTGGCGAAACTGCTCCTTCCGTGGTCTGTAAAGAATCATATTCATAAAAAACGTTATGCTCTTTATCCCAAACTAATAAAGTTCAGTGGGTTCCGGTGCTTCTAGTGGCCACGGAATTATTGACAGGGAAAAAAATATATCTTTTTTCCGTCGCTGTTCAAGGGGCGAGCAAGGGGTTATTTGCCGCAAAAATTGGATTAACCAAATAACTAGTCTCTTCGGCATCGGCAAAATGGAAATTGCGGTTGCTTGCCTCTCCATTAAATATCTCCGCAATTTTTTTAAAATGTTCATCAACTAGTCAACCCTCTACACGGGGAGCAGGCGGAACGTTTTCTTCGGGCTGGCGGGAGCCATCTAAACTTAATTGAATGGCTTCTAGTTCTTTAATTTTTTCGTTAATTGCTTCTCTTTTTTCACTTTCAACTTCCGTTGTATACTTAGCACAAAGTTGATTAATGGCTTCATGTAAAAAATCACCTTTTGGGTCGGCTTGAAAATCTTCTGAGTTTCATATTTCCTCGGCAGTTTTTCAATCAAAGTCATATC